TTCATCCGCCTCATAGCCCACCAGATGCAAAGGAAGCTGTTCCCTATCCTTCATCTTATCTTCGGAAAATGTGGCTTACTCATCCATTTAGCTCGCTGAATATTTCATAGCACGGAGTCAACACACATGGTAATAATAAGGTGATTTCAAGCGAAAGCCATTTCCGGCAGACTTTATGGGTGTGCGAGCACCTCACCCGGATCCCCCCACCTTGCTTTCTGCCCACATCCCAAGATAGAGTGAAGACCACCCCTCCCTGTCAGGCTTGTCTACTGTTTTTCAGGTCGCTGGACAGACCTCACCCCCATTGGCGCTTTGAAATGGGGGGCTGCATCAATACTGCTTAATGTTTTAGTGAATTACAATATCCACCCCAGGCTATGGACTGCCTCACTCTTTTTCCTCAGTCTGACTAGGAGAGAGTCAGACACGGCCTGGGTGGTGCAACTTGAGGAGTGAGATGAAAGCAAGAGATGCAGTGTTAGATGGACGGAAATGCAGACCGAGAGAGACAAACTTCCACATCTAATCAATAGAACACCCGCACTTGTCAAAACTTGAGTTCAGCGCCCCATGTAACTGAAGTTGCATGCACGGGCTTGTGTGTTTGTGTATCAAACTGTACATGTTTCATCAAAACAGAACTGTACATCGATGCTTAGCACACTGCATGTTGCGTCAGTGTCTCGGTTTGAGCTCCTGGAACTCCGAGACACGTGTAAGAAAGTGCAAACAGATAGAAAGAACTAAGAAGTAATAAAATTCCGCCTTTCTTATTCCTCACTCCTTCTCACCCCTCCACGCCTGTCCGTCGTGCGTTCGGCCACAGACGAGTGCGTTTTTCATTTGGATAATGGAGCATTGACTCTAATTGAGAGGACAGCCTCATTTGTTTGCCAACATGTCAATGGCCAGGCCTCTCATTGTTTCCACTACATTTACATTAATGCATTTCTCCCCACTTCTATTAAACTGCATCCCTCCCCAGCCAAAGCTGCTGCTGCTGCCTAATGCTGCTTAGTCAGTGAAAAAAGGTTAATAACAATCAAGTAGAAATGGGAAAGAAAGGGTCTGAGTTTCCTACGACTCTTCATTGGCCTTCTGTAATGGACAGCGTTTGAAAAGTCGGAGGAGATGAAATTCTGCTGATATTTTCTCTTTTTGTAATTTTATTTATGGGCCTTTTAGCCCATATTATAGGACAATTGAGAAAGACAGGAATTTGAGGGAATGGGATTGGGAAATGACCATCGGATGTACTCAAACATGGGTCCTCAAGAGCCAACAGCTCTCAAGCACCACAGACTTATATTTTTTATTAATTTTAATCATCCTATTATAATAATTTTTAATAATTTCATTTTTATAAAATAATTTCAAAGAAAGAATTTGAATTTTTTCACAATTTCAATTCATTTTAATTCTATTAAATTAAAATGCAATTCTGCATTTTGTTTGCTTTTTCAATTCATATTCAGTATTAATTAGGAATGTTATCGTCTGTGCAAAATACTTGCGTGGTTCCAAACAGGAAGTCGTTTGTGTCCAGGGGTGCCTGTTGTTTTTTTTTTGTTTTTTTTTAAGATCATCAAATTTTGATTAATTAAGGAGCAGGCACAGTAAGTGCAAGAGAGATCCCATTACCCAAAGGTTGGTTAAAGGAGCTGTTATTGCCTCTCTTTGCCATGAGCTCTCAGGATGGGGTCAAACTCCAAGGTCATACATTTGTATAAGATTAATACATTGATATGAGTCCCTCGGGGTAAGCAGCTTTTATATAGCAAGATTCAGACACATACAATACACAAACACACATTTACCCAAAAACACACAATATACTTTGTACTGATGACCCAGTTGCACCTGTGCTGACAACAGCACTCTGCCCCAGAGAGTAGCCCTCCTCTGTCATAACACACACACACAGTACACTGCCTGAGAGATTAGCCCTTGCACGTTAACACGCTAGCACACCTGCATTATGTCCAAATTAGTACTTCTCATCTCTCATCATCTCACAACACACACGCTCCCAAAATTTATTTTATTTTTTTAAATAAATATGATTATATTATTTTGTATACTAATAATTTTTAATGACTTTCTGAAAAAGTTAAAATCCCTTCTATATGTCCTGCCCAAACTTCCTGTCTGAACAGGAAATACGTCAACTCAGGACAGAAAACTGTGCCCATCAAGCAGTTTTGTTCATTGGGCCTTTAAACTGCACTTCAAGAACAGTCACCAAGCCAGTCTCCACCAGCACAAATGATGACACCTGTCAGAGAAAGAGAGAAAAATGACGCGTCGCCACATCCTAATGTTCGCTGATAAGATTAGAAAACATTGTGTTCGTTCTTCGGTGACTCAAAATGAGCGAGAAAGCAACAGAGTAAAGAATCTCATTTGCATCCTCTTCAGTGGAGAGAAATGGATGAGAAGAAAGAAAAAGCACATTAATTTACATGCTGATACACAGAGCGAAAGAAAGACACCTCTTCACACAGAGACCTAAATGAGGGGGTAGATACTCATTTAATTCCATCACAGAGACAGAGAGCAAGAGAAAGCGCATAAGTGAGACAGAATGAGTGAAACAGAGGGAGGTGAATATAAGGGAAAAGACGTGAGAGGCCATGAAAATGGGAAACAGCAGCTTGTATTAGAAACCTGTAATTTAAATCAAAGGTTATAATCAAAAATTTATCAGTTAATTGATCTCGCACATGCTGCTTGCCAAGAGAGCAATTTAGAACCCTGTCACTCGGGCTGCAAATCTATCGAGCGCTGCTCTATAAAGTAAGTTTGTTGCCTTGATCAAGCAGTCTTGTAATGTTCTCTGAGAGCTGATATGATAGGGCCCAGATAAAGCCATTCAGCAGCCGGGACCCCACGCATCTCTGATGCTGCTGCTTTTCTCTGATAAGACAAAGAAAAATCATGCTTAACTTCACTTGAAGGAACAGTTCAGCCAAATATTACAATTCAGTCATTTACTCACCCTAGTCTTGTTGCAAATGCTTTTCTCTTCTTCTTTTTCTTCACAAAAGGAGAATTTTGATGAATCTTCATGTAATATTTTTTTCCATACAAATTAAGTTTTAGCGTTAGTTCTGGCAGGCCATGTGAGTCAAGCTTGCATCAGCTGATTCTCAGCTGATCACATCTACCTATAGGAATACGACACCTATCGCGGCATTCCTATATGAGCTGTATTCAGTATTATTCAGCAGCTTTTCAGCTTGCTTCGGAGCAAATTACCCTCCTCCATCCCCAGCTCCACCTTTCGCCACAGTCAGGACTTAGCTTTCTGATATTCCTTGCTAATCAGACTCCTTTATCTTGAATAAAGTGTTACACTTAAATATCATTGAGTACATTAATGATATCTGCCTTGTTCTGTTCTGTTAACCCTGGGGGGGTTATTATTGCTGCTCTCCCTGCTCATTCATGACAGGCTGCATGGATGGGCAAGGAGGTTTTTTGCCCAGAACAGAACCATACCGCCAAACCAAACTTTATGCTAAGTATCTATCATTCTGACGATAGTGGTCCTGACAGAACTAAAGAAAATTTGACTTCCTTAAAACTCAGTTCAGAGAGGCTCTGGAGTTCTGGAGGTCAGAATTATCAGCAAATAATTTAATCATAATCTATTGTACGGCTTTAGAAGACTTTGAATACAGAGCACAAGTAATTCGGGCTACTTTTATGGTGCTATTATGCTGGTGTTTGGTTATTTTTGGAGTTTGAAAGTTGTACAGTAGCCACTATGACCTGTTGCTGTATAAAATTATTTGAATATTCTTCTCTCTTCTTTTAACACTTAACAAATTTGAATAACATATATTAGTCGTACTATTAAAGGTCCCCTGGAATGCTTAGAAACACGCAGCATTACTCTATGTGTTGACGTCATTTTAACTGAAATAGGAAGACAGGGCGGGACATATCAAGCAGCCCCGCCCCTTTTTAAAGTAGCCAATAGCGTTCGTTTATATCACAGCTTGGGCTAGAGCCGTTCAGAGCCATTGTGCTCCGTAAAGCCGCATTTGACAGGGTATGTCAGCAACAATCTCATCCATATTGCTATAAAATATAGCATTCTGTGTAGAATTCAAATAGCTCCGATACATTTTGTGGTCTGCGCCGACTCGCGCATGTGATCCGCTCCGTGCTATCGTGTCTCTGGACTGGAGCAGTGTGAGTGCGGTGGTTAGCGTGACACAGCGCAAAACCAGACTTCTCTTTTTCCTCAATGGAAAGCATATTTACACTGTTTGAATCGTTCCCTGTCCCCTATATAGTGCACTACATGCCATTCACTGTACAGAAAATACTAATTCTGTGGACAAGTGACCGAATTCAGCCGCGGCTTCAGCGTCTATTTTATAGTGTAGGGGGCGGGCGCTTCGGATTCTAGAGAGCATTTGATTGGACAGAAAGTTTGATGAGAAGCTGAAGTACGATGTGACGTCAAAAAAATCATTGAGCCTTTTTGGCGGAAGTGACGAACTGCAAGCTTAGAATGCTTATATCTTCTAAATGCAAATTGTGTCACTGTTTTGGAGCACACTGCCTTATAGATAACCTTAAGACTAACATATTGATACTAACACCCAAAAAACTTTAATTTTGATTTCATGGGGACTTAAAGGTGAAAAAGTGTATGGGGCTGATTCCTCTCAGCAGCAGGAACAGGGATCAATATCAGTGCTTGGATTTAATCACTATAAGGGGTTTTAATATCTGAGGCTTATCGTGGTATATGATTCAGGTTCAGATTGTCAGGTACAGTAGTTGTTCTGCCATTATCATGGAATTAGGACCCATTCTCTCCTATCATGTGTTATCACGACCCAGGCATTCGGGGCTCTTATGATGATCGCTCTTGTCACATCTCATTGCAGGCATTGTTCCTTGAAGAGCCAGAAAAACTGGATTAGAATGAGATATGTAAGAATAAAACTGATAAAATCTCCCTCCTCCTTTCTTTTCAGGGTAACCAGGAGGCCCCAGCTCCCCCAGAAGCCATGGCTCAGCCGTACGCTCCAGCGCAGTATCCTCCCCCTCCACCTCAGAATGGGTTGCCTGGCGAATACACCCACCCTGGGCAGGACTACACGGGGCCCAGTCCGGTCCCTGAGCACGCCGCAGCCCTCACTATCTACACACCCACACAGACACACAGCGAGCCACCTGGCACTGACAGCAGCACGCCGTCCCTCACAGGGACTAGCAGCATACCAGTGAGTGCAAATACAGCATGCAGGCATGAAATGTTTATTTTATTTTATTTTATTATTTTATTTTATTATTTGATTGGGATTTTATTTTTTTATTTTACTTTACTTAGAATTCCATATGAGTCACACGAGTATCAAAATCACAATGTAATCATGTCTTATCTAGTGTAAGGTGTTGATAGAAAAAAACTGTTATTTCACAAAAACAATCCCACTGAGACAAAAATATATTTTTCTATTTAAAAAAAATACAAATTACAGTTTTATAAACCATTAGCATGTGGCAAAAGTTTAAATTAGTACCCCATGAACAGGACATTTTTATTCATTTTTGAATTACTTTTTACTTTTAATCAGACTACAACATCCAATTTATAACATTTCTACTTTCTGACAGACTGAGATAAAGAGAAATTGGGGCTAGGAAATAGAAGAGTTTGGAATGAAAAGAAGCTAGCGCAAGCAAAGATAAAAGCATAGGACAAAATAAGAGACATTGAGAGAAAAATCATCCTTCTCCATTTAAATAGTTCTTCTGCTTTCTCTCTCCATTTTATCAAGCTTTAATCCATGGCATTCACATGGCTCCATATCTTAAACCCCATGGAGCCATTTACCATGGCTAACAATATCACAAACGTCTCAATGGACCACTTAACAAGTGCTACCCAAGTGCTCTATCTGAGCATATGACAAGCACATGATGAAATAAAAGAAACTCTAAGAGTAGAGAGTGTCCTTAGACCCTGTCCCGTGGGTAGGTTGTGTCTTGTCTGTTTGTGCTACCCTTTCTTAGTTCCTATAGACCTTTGATTAACACATACACTTACACTTGGAGGAAATAAATGGAAAAAAGCAGAAGGATAGGATTCCGGGAGTTTTTAATTTTATTTTATTTTATTTTATTTTAGCACTTAGATTTTATTAGATGTTATATATAGGGCTGGATTCGGGGTTTGACACGCATCCTTTACATGACCCCTATACTGTTGGCCTTGTAAAATACGAGATTTGATCATTGGCGAGTCACTATAGTGACTGGAATTGTTGTCGGAAATGTTGGACAGTTTGGCCCAATGTGTCTCAACTTTGTCTACCAATTTAAGTATGTAGGTAAGCAGCTAAATACAGTATCTAATAGTTACTGTTGTTGTTGTTATTGTAGCTAAGTTACTTTATTTCAAGATATTTAACATTAGCTACATTGATTATATTTTATGATGCAGATGTAAAGACCTTTGCTAATTCACGTCATAGGGAACAAGGGAGTAAAATGAGACAGCCAGTGAAAGGGCATAAGAGAAAGGTGGGAAAGAGAAATTAAAAAGTATAAAACTTTTCTTCAATGCAAAAAGAAGTACAAGGTCTTCCTGGCCTTCGGAGGGGGGTGAAAAATTCAATCTTTTTCTCTTTCTGATTGGGATATGTGTAAAGCTCTGAGGTGGTGTGGTTTAGAGGAAATAGTTATAATCCCACGCTCAGCAGATCACTGAGAAGCGATGCTGACAGGCCCTGTAAAGGCACCTGAGCTCTGGCTGGGCTAATCTACGGCTCGATTGGAGGATGTACTTAAACTGTCACTCTGGCCTAACCCAGCAGGGAAATTCTCCCTTTCTCCCTCTTTTCTCTCTCCCCGCGGAGGATCATTAGCAAAGAAGGAACACTACACCTCAGAGAGTGGACTGTAATCACATCAGATCACATATCAGATCACATCATCACAACAGCACAGACTCTAGATGCTCGGTAACTCAGCAATAAAAGACTACTTACCTCTCTTTAGGGTACGTGCTAACAGTTTTCCACTACGGCTGTCATATTGCCTTGGGTGGGATTGTCTAAACTCTGATTTGCAACGTGCTCAAACACAGCCATACTGCTCAAAGGAGCGTGATGTTATGTTATTAAGGATATGCCATTTATTCCTGCACTTATTCTTGGCCGCCTTCCCTGAGTAGTTTTTACTGTGCCATTGATAATAATACTGCAGGTATAAGCGCTCTTTAAGCCTCTGTATTTGTTACCTGCTAAACCTGTTGCGAGTCACATTACCTTGTCTAATTAATTAGAGCTTTGCACAAGACTGAAAGGCCAGTGTCTTCTTTCTAGATGGCAGGTGACGGTTTGTATTTTTTTTTATCTCTGTGGAAGGGAGAGATGATGGGATCGGAGAATGGCAGAAGTGTAGAAGAACAAAAAAATATAAAGCGGCTCAAGCTAATCCCTTTAAGTGAAGCGCAGGTTTGGCCCTAATCGGATGTAATCTACCTGCTTGGCAGCTTTCCAATCAGATAGTTTCAATTATGTGGTTGTAGGGGCATTCTGAAGGGGGGAAGTGCTGAGCTGAGCACTTTGAAAGTGATTTGCAGATAACACTGAATGAGTACGGCAATAGAAACGATTTAGCAGGACTCATTCCCCACCCAACCACACATAAAAACACGGGCACACGCGAATGTGTGCAAACATGAGCCTTCTGTGACGTTGCGGTAGGGGACGGGGCTTGGCATTAAGGTCCAATGTGGTGGTGTATGATAATGTTCAGGCAATTATTTCTTGTGCTGCTTGGCTGCTCCATTCCTTGCTGAATATGAAGTGCAGGGAAGTTGCTCTTCTACAACAGGAATGGAAATAAGAAGTGCATCGGATGTATGGAATGAGTGTAGTCCAGCGTTAGGGAAGTCTAGCAGAAAAACACAAAGGAGAAGAGATGATCCACTTTATAGGGCAGGGGTTTTCAAGCTTGATTCCATGGGCCATCAAATATGATAATCTCTTTTTGAGGGATCTACTGTATATATGAAGGCAGCAATATATTTGTGTGTATAAAATCACGTTTATACTGTGTGAAGGAAATATTGGGTGTGATATTATAAAGACATACAGTATATTAAAATTGTAATTACAAAAATGTAATTGATTGGCTTTCATGCTGCCATTGTACTAAAGCAAAATGTTACAATTTATTATTATTTTATTACTTTTAATTAAACTTATTATTATATATTATTATTAAACTTAGGCCTAATATTTAATTAAACTTATATTAAACTAATTATTGTATACATAAACTTAAAAAATACAGATAGATAGATCTCAAAGTAAAAGTTTTTACTTTTATATTTTCAGCAGACACTCTGAAAACTTTTTTAGTTTAATGAACTCTTTTAGTTCAAACAGTTAGCATTTGTTTTCAGGTTGCATGCAGGTCCAGGAACAATTGATTTTAGCTTGATATGATGCATGTTTACTGGAATTGTGCTGGAGAGAGTATGTCAGAGCGATAAATAGTCCACATTTGTCATTCAGTAAATCATTTGGCATGCTTAATCCCAGACCCTGGCAAATTGAACACTGTTATGTAACATTCCTAACTTCAGTTGTGATAATTGACTGTTAAACCTTTAGAGGGAGTAATATACCTACTTGGGGTTCATTTGGGGAACTTTTCTTAGCTGAGCATAAAATCCTCCCATATGGATTTACTATTAGATTTTTTGGCAGGATGCACATTCTGGGACCCTAATGCAATGTTGCTTAGTTCCTCCCCGTTGTCATCCTGGTAAATGGAGTGCTGGAGAGAGGGTCATAGTCCATCTGCATTTACAAAAAAAGACATCAAATAATACTCCGTACATCTCGCAACGTCCTCCTGAGGATGACCTGGCAACCCGAGTGAGCAGGGAGTTTGCCTCTGCCTCAAACGCCGAACACTTTTAATTACTTTTCACCTCGTCTGTGGAATTTGGGAGCGCAAAGCCCTCTGAAACCTTGTCTCTGAAAGAGACAGATGCAGCCCATGCTAGCTGCAATATAATTAACATGCAATTAACACAAATTAAAAGGCAAATTGCGCAGACGAACCCCCTGTAGATGGCTGCTTAGCGGTGACGATGAGATAATTAGATCCAAACCTGGAGTGCGGAGTCTCGAACGCTTACCTCTCCTCTCCCTCTCCTGGCCTGGTGTCAACTCCTCCAGAGAAGAGCTCTCCAAGCCGCCACGCTCAAGAGCATGGAAGTGCTCCGAATAATGCCAGAGAGATTATATCGTTCTTGTCGAGAGTGAGTGAGCAGGACTGTGTGTTATACAAAGCGCTTCTTATGGCGGAACAATTGCCCTCTTTTTAAGCAAAGCGTGCAAGACGAATGCGAAGCAGCCCTGCGATTTCTCTTCATTTTATCACTGTCTGTTACTCGCTGCGCAGCGTACTACATGATGACTTGCATCTGAGAAGACCTAGTCAATATGTGTTTCCATAAAGTAAGCAAATCAAAGCCCTCATCCTTCGCTCCAGCACTTCGTTGGGCAGAGCAAGGAATTGGAGACTCTCAGAGGTCACGCTCCGCCGGTCGGTAATGGGTGAGTCTGCGCCGTCACACAGCTCACCTGTTAGACATGATAGATAGTGCGGCTCTCTCCAGAGCGACTGCAGACAGAGCATGTGAATGACCAATGGCACCGGCGTGATGGATGAGGATGAGGGAGCGGGAAGAGGTATAGCCTAGGGAGCGGGGGCACCAGGGGGTAATTGCACCTCTGCTTGCCTATCCATCTGCTCGGCTTTCCATCTACCACCATCAGGCAGGGGCTACGGGCCTCCGCTGCTCGCCGACCTCGGGCGGCATACACAAGGGGCAGGACGACAGGCTGTGTGGATCCAGAGCCGACCCGTGTGCTTTATCTTAACAGGGCTTGACTGTCTACATAGCTGCAATGATTGATACTGCCAATGTGCTGGTAAACACGGTGTCCTCTCACAGAGACCCCGGAGAGCCCATTGGGAGAGACTGTGCATTAGAGAAGATGAGGAAGTTGTCAGATGGACAAGGCAGAAGTTGGTGACCCTCGACATTTAATGGTTCATAGGGATTCATTGTTGTTATACTGAATAACCTGTAGCAAGAGTTCAAACTTGCCTTCATTGTTCCCAACTAAGACACAGAGGTGTCTCTTTTATGCACAAAGGTGCTTTTTTAAATTAGAGTAAATGTACATTTTAAGAGCGAGAACCTTCACTCCTACCCATAAAGGATATTTCACCCAAAAATTAATATTCTGTCATCATTTACTCATATGCATTCCAGACCTGTATGACCTTATTTCTTCTTTAAAGCACACATTTTAAATATTTTAATTGAACCCCATTGACTTTAATTGTATGGACAAAATAAACACTGAAACATTTTTTTCAAAACAACATAAATATTTTTACTCTTGGGTTTATGTTTTTTTCCCCTGAAAATTGCCTTTGGTAGAGCTCATCATGCTGTAGCTACTGTACAGTTAAAATAAACATTTTTCTTTCAGTGAGGTTGCTTGAATAAATATTAGATAAGCACAAAAGATGTAAAGACGTTTGTCTACGTGGTTTATTATATCTTTCTGTTAATTGCAAAAAGGATACATCTCTGAGACCCATAGAAATGTAAAGTCACTTCTGTCATGTTACTGGTGTAATTTCCCCTATAAAGACATATGTCCTCTGCAATAATGATTTTGTTCAGTGAGTTAAACTTTAAAATCTCATTTCAGCTGATATTTTATCATGCTATTTTTCACCTTCTCTCTGTAATGAGTGAAAAAATGAACGCCTTGCAGGTCCAAATCTTTTGCATTTGAGTTGGTATTATGTTCTTAACTGTGTCTACATAATTGCATTTACTTCACCTTTTTCCTCTATTTTTCTCTGTCAGGGTGTCAGCGAAAAGGGATGGAGTGATAGATATCTCATTATATCTTCATTACCTAATACATGATATATTGCCATCTTCTATGATTCATATCTCTTGTGTGTTTTGTGCCTAATGAGGGGGAATTTGTCCAGCCCACTTATTATAATTAACTATGTACATGAAATACAAGAAAGCACGCTTAGTATGTAAAAAATGATTGAAAAATCTATTCAATAGAGATGCATAGCGTTTATTTCTGTATTGTTTCATAATTTTTGATATGATTGAATTTACAGTCTATAACTTCTCTTCTGATTTATAGGTGTAGATAAACATATTTTTAATTTTTTTAAAAGCAAACAGTTAAACAACTACAAATTTGTTCTGATCTTGGAAACTTGCAATAATGTTTAACAATTAATATTGGCTGTCTGGTGTCTGTTCGGAGTCTGTTCAGATGAGGTCTTGTGAAGCTCAGAGAACAGCGAGAGAATTAGTGAGAATGGGATGAAGGCTGTAGCGTCACGGCTTGTGAGGTGAAAGATGAATGTGTGTCACGGACAGCAGTCCATCCTTGAGCACAGCTGTGTCACTACCATTTCCTCCACATGATGGACAGATGAGCACACCATCTTTACGCTTACTTTCTCTCTCCCTCTTCTGTTCTCCCTCAGGTCTTTATAGGCGTCTGCTCAGTAACTACATTCTCTGGGGGGGTTTTTTCTTTTAAATCTGTATCCACACTTCTTGACAGCTTCCTTAATCTTCACCGCCACATACAAGTGTTAGCAGAGTATAGGGGATTTGTAATATGCCACCAGCATGCCCTGGTCTCCCCCTGCTAACCCACCCCCTCACCGTCCAGTAACCGTTGCCCGCTGCACTTTTTCCAGGCTGTGACGGCATTTGAGGTAGGAACTAACAGGTCTGTGCTTGTGTGTATTTCAGCAAGCAGACGATGTGGTGCAGACAGACGGCTCTCAGCAGCTTCAGCTCCAGCTCCAGCCCTCAGACTCTTCGGAGAAGCAGCAGCCCAAACGGTTACACGTCTCCAACATTCCCTTCCGCTTCCGTGACCCAGACCTCCGGCAAATGTTCGGGGTGAGTCTCAGGCCTTGGCCAGATGGCAGCAGGTTGTATCTCAGAGGAAGGCCTGATCATCAATCCTGTTTCAACTCTGACAAGAACATTGATCTTATATGCAACAGTGCAAAACCTCTTTAGATACTGTAGCTGTAGTCTGTTTTTTTCCCTCCTCTAAAATTTGGCATTGGTGGGACTAAACTAGGGCTGTCAATTTAACTTTTTAATTTGAGTTACCTAGTGTGGCAAGTGTAGTCCAATTTCTGAACAAATTAATCTTATGAGATTTATTTTTTTTAACAAAAGAATGCGTACAGTGTAACCAGTGTATTCCGATTCCTAGGTGAATGAATTGTATGAGCCATTTTTTTAGTGAATCAGAAATATACAGTACAGTGCGAGCAGTGTAGCCAGATCTGAAATCAAATTAATCATATGATCCATTTTTTAATTAATTAAAAAAACATACAGTTCAATCAGTGTAGTCTACTTCCCGAACAAATGACTCTACTGAATGAGTTCATTTTAGTAAATCAAACACGTATAGCTTACTACTAACTGTAAGACTTAAATTCTTGTTCATATGACCATGTGTTAAAGATTAGTTAAAGATACCCATTATCATTTTGCCAGTAGTATTTTATAAAAAATACATTTTAAAGTGTTTTGTATATTCATCATTTAATGCATAGCTATGGCCAAGTATTGGATTGCATTTTTCACCTCTAAAAAGTCATTTGATCCAGAAGCCAGAGACTATTACATTATTACATAATGTCATAAACTATTGTCATATGAAGGCTTTTCTCAGCTAATATTAATGTATTATTTGTGAAAAATGTATGTTATTATATGTGATCAATTTGATTAACTAATTGGCATGTTATGTAATTAATTTGATTTAAATTTTAGACACCAAACTTCCATAGTCAGTGTGTAGCACAAATATTTTAACCTAACCAAAGTATTTTCTTATTTTTCACAATTTTCTTTTTATCCCTCCAAGCCTAGAAAGTACATGACAAAGTGCTAAATGATTTAACTGCATTATATTAGTTTTAGTTTGTGACAAGGGATCTGTAAAAATTGTTTTTTTTAAATCAAGGGTATTCAATCAAAAAAGTATTGTTATACTGAAAGCAGCTTCAGGCTCGGTAATGGTTGGTCATTATTTAGCGTTTTATCCATTATCCATTTAGATGTAAGTACTCTCGGCTAGAATAAAAAAACAAAACTAATGAATGACTTGCAGCTTTCTTTACCCAAAGAACATCTGTGCCTGTCTTTCTAAGACTCAAGGACTCGTACAGTTAAACTCTAGCATACCTTTGAATTAACCGCAGCCAACAAGGGAGTGGCGTTAAACACTGGCAGCTTGTTACTGGAGGCTACAACTGCATTGTAAGGAGGAGAAAAAACATTGTTGGTCCCAGCTTGTTAAAAACCGGAGTCTGTGTTTACTAAGGGCACTGTATAGCAAACAGTAACACTTAAACTGGTGGAGGACTCTGGGTACAGCCTGACTGCTGAGTCTTGAGAACATCTGTTCCTCACGCTCTTTGTTCTCTCTAAGAGAGGCTGTCCTCTCCTCTCTGCTCTTCTCCATTCTGCCCACCGTTGATGTGATGCGCAGAGAGCCACACAGTGGTCCCACCAGTGGAGACGTAATTAATAGCGCTCCTCACTGTGGTTAAAAACTAGAAGTTTATCCTCATTAGGTTTGTGTTGGCTGACAGCTCCGATGTGAAAACAGGCACATATGTGACCAAGTGTGTGTATGTTGGTCTGAGGAGACTGCTGCAACTTGCTGTGAAGTCTCTCAGGGACCCAGGGGTGCAATTATCCCATGCCATAGATAGACTAGTGGAAGAGGATGCGATGGACAAGCACTGCGCACCTCTAAAGTCCCAAAAAATGTAAGAAAAGGCAAGTCTGAGAGCAGTGACTGAAGCACAAGGGGAGAAGATTTCCATCTACTGACGGTTTCAGACTCCTTAAACACTTACTCGAGGGGTTTACTGGCTACCCCAAAATCTTTGGTAAAAACATAAGTTTTTAGTGTATTTTTGGTCAAATAAATATCTAATGTAGATATAAAAAAGATATAAATAATAGATATAAATGATGTAAACGTATAACATTAAATTAGGCAGGAGGAAATATCTATAAGGTACCTGTTTTAACAACTTTAATAACACAAATTGTTTGAGATTTAATTGAGAGCCAATTGCTTCATAGACATTCTCAAGACAGAAGTACATTTTAAATTAAACCTCCAAATAAATTACCTGTATCATTCAATGTTAAGTCTTTTGATTATTGTAGATAAACAGACACTCATTACACTCACTTTTAATTCAAGACAGCATTCTAAACCATTTCTGATTTCTCCATTTAGCAGGATGGAAATTCAATTTGGAATAGCTGATTATGAGAACGTTTTACGAGTCTTTTTCCTCTTTCGAGTACACTGGCTTGGGCCGTAGTCAAACAAAGAGCGACGATTAAAAAGCTCCATTACCCAACCTTATTTGAGCCTCATTTTATAATTAGAAAAAGACATCCAAAGCAATTATACAGATGAGTATGTGGATTTAATGCTAGTGTATGAAATTGATTTTAAAGCACCACCATGGCGATTCCACGCAGAGGATGCAAAACTGTGCTTGCAAAATCTGACTCCTTCCATAATACTCCCCATGCACTGATTTGAGCGATCCTACACTTCAGTGCATGCAGCATATGTATATACTAGCAATAAAAATGGCCCCCAGCTCTGGGGAAGTTAGTGTTAGATTAAAACAGGTACCTTGTTATTCTGAATTAATAGACCGTTGTTCCCCTCGGTATTTCCCTTAGAGGTTTGAATCTTCTAAAATATTGATCACCCAAGGGAATGCAGAGATTTACCTAGAATCTCGAACAAGAGCAGAAGCCCCATATGGTTTTCTAATGGGTTTATACCTGCTTGATTTCCAAACAAAACTGTCTTGATGTCACACTACTGACTCGCTTTTTTAACTACTCTCCCTCCGTTTTCACAGCAACGCTGACTCGCTTCAAACGACTCTCATGAAGCGTTTTCCCAACCTGTCAAGTGTGTGGACCACCAGCAGTCTCGCACTGTGATCTCCCATTGATCCCAATTTCATGTAGGCCTACACTCTTATTAAAGCTCTCTGCTGCAAGGCAATGGGGATGATGGGGTCTATGGAGGCTAGCTGTGATTAGTTCAGTTTTCCCAGGGATGTCTACCCTGGGAAATATTTCAGCAATACCATAATCCAATTAGGGTGGGTTAAAACCATTAGCGTCCGCAGACTTTGTTTAGAGCTAATCGTCTGCGGTCGTGAACACGCTGAGATGCAAATGCCGGCGTTTGATTCTGGCTCTGGCAGGAAGAAAAAAAGCGTCTTAATTTGAACAAATGAAGGGAATCGTGTCAAGTAGCAGCTGTTTGGGTTTGGCTGTGGAATTTGAATTGGGCTGAAAAAAACAAGCTCAGTAGATCAAGCAACAGCCGGCCATAATGAACTGCGAGGCGTCACTTTTTTTCCCGTGTGAGATCAGAGCAGCATGCTCAGCCTCCTCCTCACCGCAAACATGCACATGTACAGTCTGCCTCGGGTTCTCCCTATGGCTGGGCGGATGAAAGGCGGCTCTTCTTAACCTTATTAGTGACCCGGGCCTTCAATCAATCCCATTGAGCCGTAGGTGCCTGGAAGGCCCATTTCTTCCCTGTTGTGCTGAAATGAAGCCGATGCGGCCTGCTTGACAGGGTAATTAGTTTTAATGAAATAATACAGCCATTTTAGACAGCAATTAAAACCTGCTTTCATTCCTCCCATTAGGGGAACTTAAGGTTTTGCTTTCATTCCGCCACATTCCGTAATGATCTCCAAAGCTGGCCACGTTAAATGGAACGCTTAAGCACCGTTAACCCTCCGGGGAGCTCTGGGCCGGCCGTCACTCCTCTCCAGCGACCGCCAAAGTGGAAGAGAGAAATGCAAACAGAACCTTTATCACATGTGTCACTTTGTGCGGTTGCTCTAATTGCTGTCCTACACTTTCATATAAACAGTCATGTTTACTGACACATTTATAGTGGTGCACCCTGCAGCCTCCTGCTTCCATCTAACCAATTATTCAGGCCTGTTCCAAATTACTTCTTTAAGAAGCTGTCTCCTCCTTCGGCTAGAGCAATGGTGACCTGCGTTGGCATGCGCTGGCATGTTTATTTATTTATTGAAATAAACCTGCTTGATTCAAGGTCTCGTTGTGGAGCTCCCTAACCAGGATCCTGATTAGCATAAGGCGAGTGAGGTTAACGTGTGTTTCGTGCAGCGAGGGTGGTGTTTATCACCACCGAAGTTTCTTCAGGGTTCACCTTTTGGCCACTGGTATGAGCAACGTTCAGTCAAAGGCCAAGAAAGTTTAGGCTTCTTTCCTCGAAGGGCAGCCAGGCTGCAAATCCATATGCGTCTGAAAGAAGATTCCAGACAAAGCCGTATCTCGGAGGGAGTGGTCAATGCCTCATGGCTAATGCTAATTAGAGAATAAAAATTAGAGATTGGGCGTTTCAGAGGGCCGTGAAAATGACAATCAGATAAAACCACAGAACGAAGCGCAAATAGCTGGAAAATAATAACCAAAGTGACAGGTAATTACGAGGATGGTATTCGTCACTGAGATAATAAACAAATATAGGGTTTATCATCGGTGATGATGGCTGCTCTATATCCAGTTATCCTTTTTTTAATTGAGTTGGGCATTTGGTGATAAGTCAAGCCAGAAATACCCTCTCCAGTGGCTTTGGCCAGCTTTTATCGGTCAAAAACACCACAGAAAATAACAAGCCATATCGTGTCATAAAGAGCACTGGTGCATACACAGCAGGGTGCTGCTGTGATCTTTTGAAGTTTGCTCCCATCAGCAGTTTGTCCTGCTCATTCCCAGAATCCCGACCCAGCCGAGTGCTTCATGTAGTACAATTGATTAGGCAGCTACAAATAAAAGCCCTCAATTAAATTTAGATCATAGGATCTGAGTTACTTTTTGAAATATATCAAATGTATTTGTAGTTTTTGTGTGTCATGCAAAGTTAATATTTTCTGAATTAATCAGTCTTATTGACTGAATCAGTTGATTCAGTTGAGTGAATGATTAATGTTTTGAACGAATCGAATGAGTGAACAATTCATTTATTTACTCTATTTAAAGAGTCATGTTTCCTTCCTGAGTGAATCAGTGTTTTTGAACAGTTCAGCTGACTTAATGTTATACTTGCATAAATAACATTAAAATCACATAAAATCATCATAATGACAGCCACTTGTTTTATCAAATGAGTCAATTGACTCACTCATAAAGACAGGCTGAATTCAGAACAACATACTCATACTATTTTTGATTCATTTCCTCACTCTTAAAGACAGTGGTTGCATCTGAATATGCATATTTCTTTACTAATAGTAGGCAAATGTAGTATGTATGTAATCAGTACATGAGTGATTTATTGATTCGCTCATGGAAACAGTCACTTTGTTTTGCTGAATTCCACCCCAAGCACAAGTTCAGTCAGTTAACGGTGAGGAAAAAGTAGCAAAAGTAACTTAATACTTCAGTTTTAATAGTGGGAGACAACACAATTAGTTATGTTTTATACTGAGTAATGTTTTAATCTGTTACTTTTAAAGTAACCCATTATTGATGAGTTGTGTTCATCAGTATCATTTCTCTGTCATGGCAAAGGAGATGTGTGAAGGTTTGTCTTGTGTGTTCATAGTGAAAGCCGTGGGTTTACTATTTTAGCTTTCTGTTCAATCAAGTGCTCAAGTTTCCTGACAAACTGCAGAAGAGATGAGTTCTAATTACTCCTTCTCTCTCCCCTGTCTCTCCTCTTTTCTTTTTTTTCTACCCATCTCCTTTTCTCTCCACAGCAATTTGGGAAAATTTTGGATGTGGAAATTATTTTTAACGAGCGGGGCTCTAAGGTAAGTCAGCTGGAAGAGCAGTTCTTTGTCACTTCATACTTCTTCCTCCCCACAGGTCTCCTCTTCCCTTCATGAGTCGAATAATTACAGCTCTTACACAGCAGCCGCAAAGTGACTCAAACGTCACACGCTCACACTCACTCATACTGAGCCGAGACACGTTTTGGAAAGGTAGCTACGCCGAGAGACAACTGAGCAGTTTCAGCTGAGATCTCGCCCAGTTATATAATTCAGAGAAGTGAACGTCTGACCAACACGCAGTGATTCTGCTCTTATAGCTGTCCCACTGTAATAAGATTCAGCTGTGTAAGTCTCTAGTCTTGCGCTAGAAAACGGGTTATATATAGCCATACTTCCATACAGCGCTGCTGGTCTCAAAGGACAGTGACATTTTGCTGAGGAGAACTTCTCTCACCTCCTCCTAGGTGATTCACAGGAGTGAATCTGCTGGAACAAACCGTCACAGTGTACTCAACCTTAGCAACGCACATTATAAGATCAGCCGATTGTTCACAAATAACCTGTTTCCCACTGGCCTTTTGAATTCCTACCCAGTGGCTCTGTTTCAAAATCTAGTGAGCTGCATACATAGGGAGGCTTGGTTCACAATGGATTCCAGCAGATTAGCTAACACTTTGATATGATAATATGCATAAAATCACATTGCACATTCAATTATTGGGGAAAATAATCAACTTTTAAATACACTAAAATACTTTTTACTGATTCCTTTCAGTATTGAATAACATGTTTTAATTTTTAAAATAGAAAAAATGTGAATTTTGTATGTAATTATAATTGAGTATAAATATATTTATAATATATAAATACATAATATTAAGTTTTGCTCAATATAATACTAAAAAGTATTCAAAATAATATAATATATATTTCTATTTATTATAATTTTAATATATATATATATATTTTAAGAACATGCTTTTTCTAATAATATATATTATATATAATATTTGGTAAAATAAGTATTTGGAATAAACACTGCATTTATATAATTATACTGTACAGTATATAGACATGCAGAGTTTTTATATTTATTTATATATTAATGCATTGAATTATTTACATATATTTACATTTATATAAAATCTATTGATATGCTGACTTGTAATTTGTCCAAAAACAAGGTATCTTAGCAAGCATCATAATTAAGTTTACCTACCTTTTGGAACATCATCTGCACCTATGATCCCTTACTATACTGCCTCTGTAGGCAGCTCACTATAGGTATTAGAACAGAACAAGTACTGTATGTTTGTGTTATTTATATAAGACAGTGGCTCACCATTCTAGCTGTGTAAGCTAATTAAATCCCTGATAAAAGAGGAAAACTACAAACGCTATGTTGAACACGGTAGCGCAAAAATGTCAAAAGGATTAATTTTGCTGCCCATTCCTTTTTGATTTTTCTGTTTCCTCGTGGACCAAGGACAACTGGACTGATCTTTATTCATGCCAGACACAAGGAATGGAGTGTCCATGTATGCATATCATAATCACAGGCCTCCCAAAGCAATTACCAGGCCGTACTTGCAAAGTGTGTATGAACTAAAAGACCAGGGCTTGTTCCACGCTCTTGTTTGCGGTGCATACCTAATAGCTGTTCCGGATATGGCGTTTGGGTTGCAGTTGGCCATAACTCACGGCTGACAGCGGAGATGGGGGTGCGGGAACAGAGCAGGCGCTTCCCAGCTAGAGCGCAGGATTGTGTGCATTAAACCTCTGAGCTCCTATATGGCCTTGGAAACATTCCTTACATTAGTTTATATCATTTAAAGACAAGGGCAACTTCTGTCATTTATAAAGAGTTAGTTTTATGCTTACTGATGTTCTTGGCAAGACAGATACGAGATGCACTAATGTACATATGCATGCATGCCAAATGTTTCAATATTAAGATATGCAGAATTTGTCACTGCTGAATATAATCCTAGATTGCTGTGTCTCTTTTCTTGTAGTTCTCACTCTAAAGTAGGGCTGCACGATAAATCGTATTTTAATCGGGATCATGATTTCTGCTTTTACTCGACTCGTTAAGCATATTCATCTGCGATAATTGCCAACCATTTTTTTAAACCCTGAAAACGTTTCATTTTAATTTGGCATTTGCGTCATCTTGCATTGGTAACAAGCCTCTAAAAGCTTAGATGGTTGTGGTTGCCAGACTTCATGAGTTTAAATCCCCCAGTCAAAGATTTTTTTTCATAAATCAATATATTTTCTGACCAGTGGTTCAACCATGTGACATTACAGAAAAAGCGCTGATAAGCTGAAAACACAGGCGAAAAAATGTAATTTGGAGTTTAGTGATCTCTGTTGAGATATTCTGCTCAAGTGTTATACAACCAGTCTGACGTCTTTCACGCGGTCGTTTGCTGCGAGTAAATCTGCACGCAATCCATGCGAGTTGACATTGTCTTGATTTGTGCTTTTGTGAAAGTGCATTAATTCTGAAATGAAATGTAAAAAAGAAATTAATAAAACCATAAAAATTGTGATTAATAAACAACATTTTATTTTTGAGCAAAACAATCGTGACAATTACTGTGCAGCCCTACCCTATAGTCTTAATTTCACCTCTTGCTAACGGATATAATTTGCAACCCTGCTGACTGTGACGTCCTTCTCTTTCTTCCTCTTTCTTCTTTTCACACTCACTTTATTCGTTGTTCATTAAAATATCTTCAACCACCCCTTCATCCTCTATTGGGAATCCTCTGTTCACATCATCTCAGGGTTTTGGTTTTGTTACTTTTGAAACAAGCGCAGATGCAGACCACGCACGGGAGAAATTAAATGGCACAATCGTAGAGGGACGCAAAATTGAGGTGCATTCCTGATCTAACTATCAATACCCCACCATCCCCATCCCATGAGAACATAAGCGCTGTCGGTTTGATGGAACGTGCTTGCACCGTTTTATTTCACCGCATTGCATCTCAAACGCTCACTTGCTGTGTGCATGCTGCATGTTTCATGTGTCTTTTTGGTTTTTTGTATAAAAATTACTTGTGACATACGTGATAATTATTGTGTGTTTGATGTGCATGCCATCAGATTTATGCCTTTTTGCTTTGATGTGTGTGCAACTGTAAGAAGCTTTTGAACTTTTTTATCATAATTTACAGTATGTTTTAACCGATGCTCCATCTCTAAAAATATAAATGTTATTTTCATCTCAAGATATCAAAGGCATGTCAACATGACTTTAAATCCCACTTGTTTATCCTAAACAGCCGAGGTTTATTTCTTCTTTTACATGTCTTACTTGAGGACACAGTCTCTCTTTCTCTCTCTCTTTTTCCCCTCTTCTCCACAAGGCTATTAAGATTTTCTATAAGCAATTAAGATAATTCATGTAATGCACAAACAATACCTAGACCTATATATCAAGGGAGAGTCGAGGCCAGTTGTTTCCTCAAGCTAAATGACCTCCATGGGCCCTGTGGAATGGAAAGCTATTAACGCTAATTAACATGAGGGTGAAATACTAACATGGCTTCTGTTGCCAACGGCCATGTTTAAATTCCTTTGGTGCCTCCCAACAAGCTGCTTGGTCTCGTTGTGTGTTACTAAAGTCCCTTTAAGGCAAGTCAGTTTGCTTGGCAGCCATCTTGGTAACATCCCCGAGCAGCTATTTTCTGTGTAGGCAGCAGGCATCCAAGTGCAGCTTCTATTTTCTTGGGAAAGGGAAAGGCCAAGAGCTCTGTGAAGATTATATGTTAATGATATAATAAAATCACCAATAAAAATATATCTATTTTTTCAGGCTGGTTCAGCTTAAGTGCATGTGCAAGTGCAAATAAACCAGCCACCATATTAAGCATTATTTTTTGGTGTTACATGTAACCGGAGGAGCTTTGTACAATGTGGCTCCTCCTTCCTGAGGTTAAATTTAGTGCTCATGAAGCCGCCGCCTCAGGGTTATAGTGTCTGGGAATATGCAGAACTGTCTAGACAATGTGGCAGATTAAATTGCGGAGAAGGCCTCAAGGAAGCTCCCTCAGCTTGGCTAGTGGGGAATTCCAATATACTCTGGGTTTCATTAAAGCCCATTTCCAGAGTTGCTCTGTTTCATTACATGTTGAACCAGATGTCATCATCCAGCTCTTCTACAAACAGCCTGGATTAGATCCTACATCCAGCAGGAAAACAGAAGATCAGAGCTTGATGGATCACTTTCATTTTTAGCATCTCATAATTTTTCAACTGATAATTAGAGCATGTGAATGTTGTTGTTTTTTTTATACTTTGCGGAGAAGCATGAACCAGATTTTGTCACACTCATGTCTGTGGCATATGTGCCTGTATTCTTTGTGTTTTTTTTCTCATATCTACTTTTTCTTCACAGGTAAATAATGCAACGGCACGAGTAATGACAAACAAAAAAGTGGCCAACCCATATACAAACGGTAAGAGCTTTTGTTTTTCACTGTAAAAACATTCAGTGGCCCCAAATTTATACGTAAAATGTATTCATTTAATTACATTATATACATTAGAAACTATTTAAAAAATTTTAATAAATAAATAATAAAAACTTATCCCTAACCCTAACAGTATTTCTAATATTTAAAAAAAAATATTTAAAACCCATTTCTATATATTTTTTAGAAATAATTATATAAAATTATAATTATAATGTTTTTTTTATTTATTTTAAACACAATTCTTTCCTACTCCTTTTTTTTTAAACATCTTTTGTTAAATGTTTTGTTTGATTAATGTTTTGTTTGATTAATGTGGGCTTTTTTAAATTAATCCCGCTTGGTTTCGTATTTAACTGTGAATAATAACTATGAACACAACCATCTTCATTTTGGTCAAAGATCAAATTTTATAATAATTGAAAACCCGATTTTGTATATATTTTTAGAAGTTAACATATATAATTATACTTATATATATATATATATACGTATAATTTTATATATTAACTTCTAAAAAATATACAAAATTGTTTTTTCAATTTATTCATATATATGATTGCTCATTTAAAACCAAATTTATTATTTTTATAAATTATTATATACAATTATTATTTGTATTATTTTTTTAAATAATTGTAAAAAAAAAAAACTGTGAAATGTTTCAGTTCTTTAAAGGTAATCTCACTTGTTTTGATATTTTGTTATCTAATGCAGTTTAAATTTCTCAATCTTTTTAGGGCTGCTCATTTAAGCTCTCATCAAGTATAATATGAATGATGTAATGTCCATTTTATTTCCCTCTAAAAAGGGGCTTAATGTAAAGAGTGATCTCTTCCTTTACAGCTCTCCTTATGCTGTTCGGGAGCTCCGGGGGGAAAGCTTAGCTGATAGGGATCAGAGTAGAGAGGTGGCTCGTTCAGCGCAGGGGTCTTGGTGGGGTCCTGAGCTCTTCTGCTGACGCTCATTCCCTCAGACTGCAATGGAGAGAGAGACAGAGAGGGGGAATCAAAGAATCAAATATATCAGCAGCAGTGTAGACCCCCCAGCTCTACTTCAGTCACAGCCAATGGGGAGTGAGAGGAGGCTATTTTACAGCCCACATCTATCACTGACAGCACACCGGACAGCACTCACTACTCTCTTGCTCTCTGTCTCTCATTCTCCCTCTCTGCTTCTCTCTTCCCCATAAGACTACCTCCCTGGTTCTCATTTCTCCACTCCTCTAGCTTTTCACAGCCTTCTCTCAACATATATTGCTAATTCTATTTCTCTCTTCATCTAAGCCTGGGGTGTTTTCCTTCTGCCCTTTTCTTACTCACTTACTCTATCTTTAAATCTCAATATCTTCCTTCTCTCGTCTTCCCTCAGTCTCTCGCTCTCCCTCAGGCTCTTAAGTAGCACTCGGTAGCCAAAATTAGAGATGCAGATGTGAGGTTGAGGCGCTAACCGTGCATGGGAAACTTAATTGTGTAATCTTGGGGTCGTTTTTCCTATCTTGCTCAATCCGTACAGGCAGCACAAGCATGAAGGGAGCGGAAAACATAATATTGATTGACTGACAGCTCTCTCAGCCAGAGAATTCGGTCCATGGCAGCATGTTGAGACAAACACGGCCAATAAGATTAAAATGCAAAGTAGAGAGCAAAAAATTTTCATGTTTTAAACAAAGATGAACAAATAATTTCAGGGATGTTTGGTTCCTGGCCATGTGTGTCTGCTCCAGAAATGGCTCAACGTGTACTGTACACAAGTACGTGAACCCAGACATTTTCATTTCAATATAAGAATGCATTCTCAGTGTTGCCACGAGAGGGAGCGATAGCGGGTATTAGCTAGCTGTCGTCTTCTATGTTTAGGCAGTCTTCTATTGTAAAGGCAGAGCTTTGAGAAACAATTTGAGCAATTAAATTAATTACATTTAGGAAAACTGGCAATATTTTATAACTAGCTATTAGAATGACATCATATCCAATGCCTGAAATTAGGTATATGGTTAACACAAGCTCAAGATATTTTCATGTTTTAAAATAAAATACACAAGTAGTACCCATGTGTGTGTGTGTGTGTGTGTGTGTGTGTGTGTGTCTGTGTGTGTGTTAAGTTTTTATGTTGCTTGAAAAAGGTGGTTGCTAATGTCAGGGACATTAAATGTCATCATGCTGAACAGGAAAACTAATCTACTTACTAGTTTGCTTTTACTGACTTGTTGTGTTTATACTCACGCTCTTGTAAACTATTCTAACTCTAACTTTCCAGTTTGCAGATTTTAGATAAAGATCTTTTTTCTTACGTATAGCTTTTACCTGTGATTGTGTTTAGGCTTCAAAATTCATAAAAGTTGCATTCATTTGTAAAAATAAAATTGTTGATGAACAAACCTTGTAATGGTCATAAACTTTTGATGATCCCAGAGCTTATTTTCTGCAATATTTCAAAAAACAATGGAAAAATCTTTTTTTTTTTTTGTAGAGGGAACCTTGTAGAGTGGTCTACAAAAAAAAAAACGTAATCCCTGCAGCACTCTGTGGCATAGACTTTTAAAGGTAACTTTAGCGCCCCCTAAGTTTATTACCACAACTACACTCCAAAAACACAACAACTTGAAGTATAAAAGTATTAATTATATTCAAGCATTCACATCTCCGTTGCAGAGAGTACATTTGGGGCCTTATATTGATGCACTTAATGGTGCACCTATGTGTGTGCACTCCTTTAAAAGAGCTGAAATGCATTGTGGGCATTTTGTGCTTTTTCAATTACAAAACTACTCAAATAGATCCATAACTGAAATTAAGCAGTCTAATTACAATATTAGAAGTATCGGGGGAGGAAAAAAA